TATATACATGTAGGTATGTATATGTGTATATATGCATATATGTGTGTATGTGTGTGTGTGTGTGTGTGTGTGTGTGTGTATATATATATATATATATATATATTTATATATTAGTGTTGGGTTCAAAATGATACCTAACTTAGAGCACAAATAGCCTGAGTAAAGGTTTAAATTACATCTGTTAGAATGTAAATGTCTATAAATACCATAGTCATTAAAAATTATATTTCTGAAGAATACCTCATGATAGGGGAAATTGTCCATGTTATAATGCTAAGTGAAATAGCAGGTGGAGTATACCTAGTGCTATTATGTGTGCATGTGTACACTATCTACTATTTAGAGTCTCCACTTAATGAGGTTCAAGCCTCACATCATTTCATTTTTATTTTGGTCACTTTCCTCAGTTTTGATCTATCATATTTATATTTCCTGCTGGGTAGCAGCTCCCTTAACACCCTCTCAATTCTTAACTTCTCACTTTTGTGTATTCAGAAAGATTCTTTGATTTAGTAGATTCAGTTCTATTTATAAAAACAATTATATTGCCAAATTAAGATTTGTCTACGTGGACTCTAGAAGTTAGAGTGGAGGGCTGGGCACATAAGCTTCTAGCCTGCCCCTGCCTCAGCCTGCTCTTCAGCCTAGTGGGGGGAAACCATAGAAGGATGGAAAGGCAGGGTTTAACCTTACTTTATAGCCTCCACAAGGTGGCAATGCTGTTGTTCTTCATTGATGCTTACTATTTTGGCTGTCTCTGTGGGTCATACGTGCTCCTAACAGACGCTGTGGATGAAGGGAATCCCCCCAGGTGGTTTCTTAGGCATTGAGAGTCCTTTGTGAGATAGATGCATCTTCCAGCTTACTCATGGTTATTAGCAAAAGGCTTAATTCCTTGACTGTATGTGCCTCTTCCACACTGTGGTAGTCCTGGTAAGATTGTGTCCTCTGTTTTCATATGCATCAATGCCTGGGGCTTGAGGTCATGTGCAGAATCCATCTGAGAATGAACATTCCTCTTGAAAACCTAGAACTTCTGGGGCCCAGGCAGGTACAGGTGGAGTGAACTATGAGGGACTTTCTTTCCTGCTCAGGTAGCACAGGGGAGGCCGGCAAGCCCACTGACAAAGCAGGCGCCTAAACAAGAAACAAAATGCCAGTCTTCCTTTTTTACTGTCACTGGGCTTCAGTGAATATTATGGGTTGAATTGTGTTTCTCCACCAAAAAAGATGTATTGGAGTTCTAGTCCCTATTACCTCAGAATAAGACCTTATTTAGAGCTAGGTTCTTTACAGAGGTAATTAAGTTAAAATGAAGTCATTAGGGTGAGCTCTAATCCAATATGACTGATATCCTTACAAAAAATAAAGGGAAATTCAGACACAGAGACAGATACACACACAGAGGGAAGATGATATGAGAAGAGCTACAGGGAACAGACAGCCATCTACAAGCCAACGAGAGAGTCCTGGAATAGATCCTTCCCTCACAGCCCTCAGAAGGAACCAATCTAACTAACACATTGATTTTTGACTGCTATCCTCCAGAACTATAAGATGATAAATTTCTGTTGTGTAAGCCACTTAGTTTGTGGTACTTTTTTATAACAGCCTCAGAAAACAAACACAGGGAAGAAAATCAAAGACATTTCACTCCCATAGAGAAAAAAAATGTAGTAGATATTCTTTCCAAGAAACTGTTATTTTAAGAGGTGACTTCTCCTCTTCTGGGTCAGGGTTTTAGTGTTGGAGTTGACATGGATGGGAATTGGGTCCGCAGGGTGATGATTGAGACTTGTTTCTGGGAATAAAAGGTGGGTGACCCCTAACCACTGGAAGTTCCTCTGCCAAACTTAGTATTCAGGGTATTTGCACAACTTTTAGATATGAGCTTTAGAATAATAGAAATATCCTTTTTTTAAAAATTTATTTAGAGAGAGAGAGGAACAGGAGAAGGAGAGAGAGAGGAACAGAAGGAGAGAGAAAGAAACAGCTAACTCTCACACTGAGTGAGAGAAAGAAAAGATGGAATCTAGGAGAGGAAAGCAGCTTCCACACTGACTGGAAGGGAATAGAAAGAGATGGAGTTTAGGAGGGGAAGATAGGCTTCCATGAAGGGAGTGTTTGTGGAAGGGGACCCAAATATGGAGTCCTGAAATATTCGTAGAGTGTACCTGAAACTAGTCTGCTACATGTGTGTATGTGTGTGTGTGTGTGTGTGTATGGGTGTGTGTGTGTGTGTATAGGGGTGTGTGTGTGTGTATGGGTGTGTGTATGGGTGTGTGTTTGTGTGTAATCAGTATACCAAAGTGACTTATGATAGGTAGCAGCAAAATCCTTTTCCCAGCACTGTCTCCCTAGCCAAATGTTTTATGAATACTCTGGGCTGTGAAGGAGAGAATCAAATGGGAAAGCAAAGAGAGCTGAGGTAACTTAGTTTGCATGTAGTAGATCCCTAATGCTTTCCCCATCCAGTTCCAAGGGGTAAGTGGAAATAACAGAAACTGCAGATGGGTCTTGGCTTCTGGACAAGCTAGTTGCGTGTTTCTATTCCTCATAAGGTCCACAAAGACAGTTTGACCCTGGTGTTCCTAGCCCCTAGTAAGGATGGGCTGAAGGACCTGAGGTGGTCTCATAATTCCTGTGGGCCTAGTAAGTGCAGAAGCTGCTGGTTGAGCCTGGGAACCACAGGGAAGTAGTCTTTTCTGTTGGACTGGGACAGTGGCAGGATAATGTTTCCCATGTACCACAGCAAAGAAATAGCTCACAGTTCCTGCATGAACTAATGACTAAATATCAGACAGAAATAAAAATGCCTCAGCAGATGTCCACGTGCAGAAGTGACAGCCAGGTCATAAACACTCTTGCTTGAGTCCTGGCACCATGTAAGCCCATAACTACCCTCCTCAACCCACCCCAAATCTAGATGCAACTCGGGTAAGTCACAACTGCCTGAAATTAAATAACTATCATCACATGAGATGGAACTTGTACTAGGCAGCATAATTTTTCATTAGCAGGCTTACCCTTAAATATTGGCTAAAGGAAATTTTTAAACTAGAAAGGAAATGATGAAATAATGAATCTTGGGGCTTTGAGAAGGAAAGAAGAAAGGACAATGGAAAGAATAGACATATGGTACATAGTAAACTACCTGTAGTAAGGTTCTCCAGAGAAGCAGAACCAGTAGGAGAAAGGAATTAGCTCACACAGTTATGGAGATCTCCAGTTCTCAAGATCAGTAAGAAATCTGGAGACCCAGGAGAGCCAATGGTGTCATTCCTGTCTAAGTCCAAAAAACTTGAGAATCAGAAGATTTGATGGTGTAGTTCTAATCTGGGAACTGGCTAATTCAGGACCCAAGAAGAGCTGATGTTTCAATTTGAGTCTGAAGGCAGGAAAAGAAACTAAGGTCACAGGTAGA